TACAAAGTTTCAAAATCTAGAAATTGAAAAATACATCAGCTAAACTCATGTTTCATGATTATAATGTTCAATACAGCTGCTCACTTACAAAAACCAGAAAAAGATAAAGTTTATGAATATTCATTATCCAGCTCTAACACTGTATATAACACTCCCTTCCTCTTATTAAATCAAGTTAATTATGTTTTGTCTGTTCATTTGTATGTTTGCATGTATGCCCATACATACACATTTATAAATACATTTAAAGAGATTGAGCATTAAAAAGCCTTACATTAAGTTGAAAACTTAAAATGGGGACTATCAAACACAGGTTTGTGTGTACAACCGTAATTCCAACAGCTAATGAATATGTACATATTTTTTTCCTAGCTCTCCCATCTGCATCCCAGGCTATTACTCTTGCAACGTGCTGCTTCCGGCCCAGGTCAGGTAGGGGGAGAAGAGATGTATTATTTCAAGTGCAAGAAAAATATCCTCCCTTGCTCCTGCTGTCTGGGTACAAGCATTCAGACACCAACACTGCCTGGCCCTCAGCACTCCAGAACTGAAATTACAAAGGAAGTGCAAATCCAGGTAATATTAAATGGAAGCCCCTGCCTGGCTCCGCAAAATAAGCAGGTTTCACACATGCATCTACACTTGCCAGATCTTAGTGACTGTCCACAGTGATAAATAAAGAGCAGGTCACTAAAACAAAACGTTATTCTCCCCTTCAAATTTCTCATCCTGGATAAGCATCTTGGACTCAGACAATTTTTTAAGGTCAGGATTATGTTTTTTCACTATTTGCAAAGATCACTCTCTTGCCCCTTGTTCCCAAAGCAGCACACCCTCTTTGGCTGATAAAACTGGATATCTGACAGGAAGTTTTCAAACCAAGCTATTGAATTTTGTGAAAGTTGTCAGCAGCAGTTAAGTATTTTCTAATTTCAAACAAGCTTCACTACAAGTAGCACTATTAGCATTGCCTAAAGAAGACATGTGTTTGCAAAATATTACTGCAAATGCCACATCTGACTGTCTATAATGTTAAAATGCAAACTGGGCTGAAGACTTTGGAGAGCAGCTGATGACAGATTTCATCCAAACTTAAAGAGTATTTATTTAACATTTGACACCATACTTCCCACCTTTATAAATATACTGGAAATTGTCCTGCATGAATCTAAGACAATAGGTTGCGGTCAGAAAGGTCAGTAGTCAACTAGCAAACAGAAGTGGAGAACCCACAGGTTCATAGTGCAGCATCCGAGGCACATAGCCAGGGACCAGTGGAACTAACTCCCCTTCTGATGCTTTTTTCCTACATCCTCCTACATGAAGACACTTCAAGACTGCAGCTTAGGTCTGAAGTATAAAATGAAATTGAAATGAAGACAAATATAACAACCTCATTCCTATATGCACAGCCCCTTGACAGTATGCTTCCTAGAACACTTTCCTGAAAAAAAAAAAACAAACCAAACACAGCTTCAAAATTCACCCAAGATGGACTTATTGGCTCTAAATCTTTTTCAGGAGAACAATACCACTCACACCTGAATAGGAAACAATTCTTGTGGCTGGTGGTTAGCTGCTTGGGATAGAAAATTTCACATCTCCCAACTAAATAACAACTGCTTTTAAATGTTGCTATTTAAAGCTGATAAACTTTGTTAAAACACATGTGTTTCACAGGCTGCCAGGACTGGAATTTTAGTTCCCACATTACTACCCCAATCCATATTTTATTGTGCATATCTTATGTTTTTCTGTGTGGTGTCATTAATCTGCTCCCTGGCTGTGCAGAATAATACCCCACAAGAGTAGGCTGCTTTTTGAATATTTTATTATCTCTCATTGTATTTCCAAACTAATATATATTTACAAATTCAACCTCCTACAGGCAGAACTATATTGTTTTCCCCCTGTGTTTGAGAACCAAGGTGTAGATACTGAATTTAAATAGCAAAAATCTATCTACAGTCATTTGTGTTGAAAGAGAGAACCAATCACATATCAAGCTGTGCAAGAAAGGGGAAAAAAAAAGAAAAAAAAAAAAAAGAAAATATTTGCATACTGCAAGAGAAGACAGAGGGGGAGGGAGGCACACAAACAGGCTATGTTCTTGACGAAAGACATCTTTCAGTGCTGCTGAAGGACAACTCATTTAATCAGAGATTTTCCCCTGGTGTCTTTATTGACACAGATAATTTCTTTCCTTTTACCTGTAGCATTTTGGCAGTAAGAAGAGCGAGAATACCCTCCCTTGCTCCCCTCTTTACTGCTACACTAGTAGCCAATGTTGGCCCTAAAACACCAAATTACCAATGGTTCCTCTACTGCAGGAAACTCCTCTTAGGCCACAGACCTAAGATTAATCTTTCCTAGTTTCTGAACAAGGCAAAGCTAAGCTTGAAGTTGACACTGTCCAGGAATATACACTGAAATATCTACTTGGTCCCCACCACCTGATGTTGGAAGAGTGAAAATCCTCTTACAAATGGAAGGGGAGACATTCTTTTATGGGTTTTGCACATTTGAAATAAAAAAAAATTGCTCATTATGATGAAGGCCCAAAATTTGGTTTTCTAGACAAGAATTTTAGCCTTAATTTTTAAAACACTTTAAATATGAAATATAAAAATACTATATACACTATCCACAGCATTTGCAAATCCGTTTCCTTTTTAAAGGGCTTTGTTGCCATTCTTAAGTTGAACCAGAACCATCCAACTGTGTATGAGTATCCCAAGACTCTTCCCTAAACTATGGAAGTAAAGCATGCCATAAATAGGTAACCTGATATTTAGAGACATTTATATCCCTGTATGTGAAATTATCATGTATATACCAGACTTTCTGCTTTTTTGATCCAAAAAAAGATTTCAATCTGGTTTTAACCAGCTATTGGTTTCCACTATAAGTACCACCCATTTGAATACTGCTTTAAACATCACTGTTATACTCAAAATGAAAATGTGAGGACACATGATTAAACATACATGGTCAAAACTAACAAGCCCAAAACTTGATGCATCCTACACCACAGCAACTATGCTTATTTTATTTTCTATTTTAAAAAAGCCATATATGTTATCTTTTTCCTCATTCAAGTTTACTAACATGACAGCTACTCAGGAGCCTGCAATTACATGCAATTACTAGAGGTAGCAATTTTTCAGAATAATAGGGGAAGGGTACACAGTCGTACAAACAGTAATACTCAATGAGCAGTTTCCTTTCTTACAAAAAATAATTCACAATATCCTTTTACGTAATTATTAGTTACCCTGTGAGATTCTGCCTGTCTGCAACATTATTTAAAATGAACAAGTATGATGGTTGTTCCCTTTGTTTACCTTGTTTATCTATTTTCTTTTTAATTCTATGAATTCTATGCAAGGACAGATTATTTGACTCAGTTTCGTTTGTACTTTGTAGTCAATGATCCTGATCTAGGAGACTTTGAGACCACTGGAAAGTTCTTTTTTGAATCCAGATAGATTTTGGATCACCTTAACACCATCATTATCTCAGGAATACTATTATAAGAAACACAGGGTTACTGGAACAACCTCAATGTTCTAAAAAGAATTGTCTGTCATCACACCTTTTGTAGTTCCATGATTGAAATCTAATACAGTTAAGAACTCCTAATTGATTGATCTTTACTTTTTTTTCTCCCCGAAAGTGCAATCACTTTTAGCACTTTATTCATATTTATTTTGAGCATTTTCGTCAATAACATTTTATCTGTGGAGTTTCTAGCACTGAGTTACTAACTGCACCTAGTTGACAGGAACAACAGTCTCCTCATGACTTTTCTATTACTTTTTAAACAAGCTACCTACCCTGACTTCTTCTCCTATTCTACTTGCTGTATTGTATATTTGAAGGGATACATTTTCAGAAAAGGGCTATAAGTTACTACAGATAACCTGCACAATCCCACATTGCCAAGTCTACACACAACTAATATTTATATGTACAAATAGTGACAGATACTTGCCTACTTTCTTGGAAAATTTGGATACTTTTCTTGGAAAATTACTTTTGTTTTACAGCATAATCTACTGCCTAGTTTATACTACTTTGTTAAGTTCAAATCAAAACAAAAGTATGAAATTATATTTAGTAAATTCTGCAGAATATAGTAATTAAAGTCCTTACTGACTTTATTTATAAGGCACACCAGTAGTATATTGAAGGAATCTGAAGTAATCTGAACTCCTGTAGAATTTTTTTTAAAGTAAAAAAAGGATGCAGAAAGAAGTGTATCTGTTCAGTTTGAATATCATTACAGACAGGTAGAAAAATATAAATATGTGGTGAATAAGACTAAGTTAAAAAAAGAACAAAAAAAAAGTGTTTCCTAAGTTTGAAATGAAAGAAAACGAAAATGAATAATAGCATGCAATATTTAAAGAAAACTAGCATTAGTGTGTTACAGAATGGTAGGCAGAATCTACTATTCTACAAGGACTTTAGTAGGCAAAGATCCTAATTAAAAGTACATTTTAAGAATTTCCTATCTCATGACTGTAGATACTTTCCTTAAAATTTTAGGTTTTAGAATCATCTTATGATCAAACAGACTTCCACTTTCTTTTCTAACAAATTTCTAGCCTCTGTGCTTGGAGAGCATGGTTTAAAAATATGAAACTTTCAGGTGAAAAACAAAGTTGCCCCCTTAAATTTCTCCTTAAACTTACTTCTTTCATGACACATCCAGCAAACATCATTCCTTGGAGACTGTCTTTAACCTGTTTTTCAAAGTTAGGGACCCAATATATTAAAGCAAGTGACTTGCCAAAGATCACCCAAAAGCACCGTAAGAGAGCTAAGAACTAATTCTCTGAATCACAAAAATCTTCACCATATGACCAGCAATTCTATTAGAATTAAGACAGATATTGCATGCTTAATTATGTGGATTAGCAAAGGTCAAGGAACAATGTCATTTGTAATTGAAATTAATATTGTGATGCCTTGGTTTCCTCACCAGGAAAACATACCCGAAAGTCATGCAGTGGCATCCTTCCAGATACAGTTTCAGACATGAGGAGATCACATTCTTCTCAGTAACCAAAGATGAGAGAGGCTCTGGACATTTTCTGGAAATCAGAAGCATGCAGATTGATAAGGAGGGAGGACATGTAAGCTCTGACACTTTCTATTTCTTATAAGCATTTCTTTCAGCTCTACAGGGTGAAGTACAGGAAAGGTCACAAATCAAGTCCAAAAAGTAAAAGACAGTTGTTGCAGCTCAGAAAGCAAAGGATAGTGTTTGGATCGAAGTACCTAGGTCAGCATTCAAATGAAGCTGTTCTGCTAGATTTAATAACAACAGATGCCTTATTTCTCTTTCTTTTCAGATAAATGAACCACTCTAAATTGATGTCAAGTTCACCAAAAGGTATGTGACTGAAAAAGCAGAATAACTAACTTACTTTCCTTATGGAAAAATGAAACCTCCTAGTCCAAGGAACTTAAAGGACCTGGGAACTAGAAGCAATCAGGTCAATTCAACACCCACCGACAGTATTTTCTTTTTGTAATAAATTGGTCTCAAGTGCAAAAGACCTTGACAAACTTACTTTTTCTAACACTTCCCCATTACACATGCTAATGCTCTTATCTAATTAATAAAACTCCCTTTAATTCTGCTTTCTACCAACACAGTATTTGACAAAATAATGAATATATGCTTCTATTTAGTTAAGAAGTTTCATTCCCTTTACACTAATGTAACTAAATACAAAGTCTAAGTATACATTTATCTATATAAGCATTTAATTACACATGCAACAACACAGTACCAATCAATCACTCTTTATTTCATGAAACAGATAAAAACATAGAGAATAACATTGTAATCAATTATTTCAATCAATTTTTTCTTTTTGCAGAATCAATAGTTTAGTTCTTACATGTTTATTTAAAAGTAATGCACCCACTTTTATGAGAAATGAAAAATGGGCACTTTGTAGGCAACATAAACCTTCAATTTAATTATCTGTGCACCAAAACTTACGAGAGGGGTTTAATAAGGAGTAGTATGCATAACACTAGTGACACTGAATAAGAATTAAACAAGAAATGCTTATCCAGAATGCAAGAATAAAATCCTCACACTCATGCCTACACATTCATGCTTTGTCCAGAGTCTATTCTTGCTCACGTACTGAACACATACAGTATTTTAAATGGTCTGTTCATCCAGTGCAAAATGAGTATGATTAATGGCTAATTGCTCTTTCTTGTTTGCTATCCTTCTCATGCTATGATATCAGAGTTCCACAAGGGCAACTGTAGTGGGCTGGCCAAAAAGCCTGGAGGGGAAAATTAAATCCTCTTCTTAAGTAGCAGACTAGCAGTCTCCTCCAACAAAGGCTTTCCTTCCCTTGGTGGTAATGTGATTCATTTTCCTATAAAGAAGAAGGCTGGTATTTCAATGCGTAAAGACAGCCATTACTGTGACATTTAACAAGCCTGAAACCTCTGGCTTTCTTGCTAACCTAGATCTGCCTTAAGGCTATCAGAGACAAAAGAGGCCTTCTCCTCCAGCAAGCATCAAAGACCTAATAAAAAGCCAAGAACGACTAGGCAGTCAGCTTCCCTGTCAGAAATGCAAAATAAAAATATAATATATGCAAATTTGAGGCATGCAAAAAAAATAATCATGGAATATTGCTTGTGTGTACAGTTGTACTCATAAAACCTGTAATGCACTTTTTGAATTATTCAGCAAGAAGAGGCTGAAAAGCAGCAAAGAAGCTTATTATGTTTGCTTTGCTTCATAGACTATTAGGTGGACAAAAAGAAAAAGGAATTTAGTTACGCTTGCTTATCTCCTAACCTTATAAACTTGGGATTAACAGATCAAAGAAGGATTTGGTTCAGTTGATAGAAAATGGAGCTCTTTTATAGCTGTTTGGTCTCCCTGTCCCTTATGATCAAATAAGCTTAAGCAATTGATAAAATAAATGGGGGTTTGAATTCATGTGTTTTAGTATATACATTTAATATTTGTTGTATCACATTGTACATATGTATGCAGAATTAAGTAACAAGTAAAAGAAGATTGAACAGTGCACATCAGATGTTTTTTGTATTTTGCACATGCCCTAATACTGGAGTCCAAAGTACAAACACAAGGTACTGTACTGATATAATTTAAGTCGCTTCATGATTTTGCGAGGTATGTGGGGCATCCCACATACTACATGCATACAGTATTTCTGATGCTTCATTCTCTGATCTTGCCATCAGTCTGAAAATTAACCCACAACTTACCTCCACCTCGTGGCGCTGTACAACACTGGGACGCAGAGATGGATACACCTTGCATCACTGTGGTGTGGGCGCACGATGCTGGCAGGGCATGATGCTCGCAGGGCATAATGCTACATGTTTTCTCTCCAGCATTTCAAATTACAATTGCAATACACCAACAAGTGACTTTATTATGACAAAGATGACATGCTTCTTTTATTCCTTCATCAACAGCTCTGTTATTTTGCACAGGTCTGGAGATGGCTGTATTTCTGTGCCAAGATCTGGATAACTTCAAAAGAGTCTCACCTTTTAAAGAACCGTAAAGAACCGTATATGTTCATTGTGAATCAAAATTAAATTACACATTCTTTTGAAAGCTGAGGTCAGCCCATTTAGCTATGAATTACCAAAAGATGAAGATATGTATCATTTATTTAAAGAAGATACCATACCATCCACATGTAAAATTGTTTTTTCATATCAACTAGGCCATGCGATTTCCATTTACAAATTATCACCTATAAAAACGAATTAAACGACATGACTTACTTCTTTTTCTGTAAGGTTTTGACTGTAACTTTTGCACAAAGTTTATCTCCATTACTACAAACTGCCATCTAATAGGATATTTGGATGCAAATTGCATGAACTAACCCCCAGTACATTTAGTTAATGTAATACCTCATGGGACTTCCTAGTTGCAAACTGAGGATTGTTAATAAAACAGCAATAAAATATGGAATACCAGTGTCTTATTTATCTCTTCAACACCAACTATCATTTCTGTGTTTCTACTCTAATAACACTTCTGTTCAGAGAAGCCAGAACCATTTGAAAACTAGCACAGGAAGAACCTCCAAGAGATTTTCTAAGATTACATTTGTTCTGGCATTAAGTTTCTTAAATAAAGATTTACCAAAGTCATTTAATAACACGTAGGGGAAAGAAGGCAGATGAAGCTCTTTACATGGTGGGAAATGAACCAAGTATCAAGAACAGATAAAGCAGAAATTCTGTGACTGACCCTTCCATGGTTAGCTCTTCATAATTAATGGAGATGCTCTCATCATAGATGAGTTAGTTAGTGGCTGACTTAGATTGAGATTCATTCCAAGTAACAGCTAAACCAGTCACCGAGGAGAGAATAGCCACCATGTCCTAAGGAGGCCAGAGACCAACAAGTGGAAGGAGAGTGGTGGAAAACTACTGAGTTGACAGATACATGTAACAGCTCAGACACTGAGATTGGAATGAAAACCTTCCTAGGTCCTTTGTATATATGTACATTTGGAACATCTTCACCTTCCCACAGCTTAGTTCAACACTCACAAAATCAAAGGAAAAAATGAAAACTTCTGGAATAAAAACCTGCCAGAGGTAGCAGATTCAAAATCTGTGGATCTGATGACATCTAGATCAGATTTATTTTCCGTGTATGGCTTTTGATTGGCAAATATTACAGTTTGTTTATGTAACATAATTTTGCACTGCATGTTTGCTGGCATCATTTGCTCAGCATCTCAAGAGAAAAGGAGAAGAAAGGAGAAGGATACTAGATGATCTTAAGGTCCTTTCCAACCCTAACTATCCTATGATTCTATGATTCTGTAAAAGGAGAAAAGGAGTGGGGGAACAAAAGGAGAAAGCTTAGCAATGCATAAAAAAAGGCAATATCTATTATGCTAGAGTACCAGAAAGCCAAGAATGTTTTTCCTATGTTACAGGAAAAAAAGGTTACATCCTAAACCATAATATTTTTTTTAGAAATTATATATTCCTTTTCCATACAGGTCTTACATTAGGAAGAACAAATAAACAATATGAGTCAGCTAGTGATTGTGTCATTTCATTCAAATGACAGAACATGATTTGGTTTTGTTGGAAATATAACAAATGACAGCCAAGCAACACAATATTCTCTGGCTACAACATAGATCTATGTACAATTTTGCTAAATAAATTAAACAGACACTGGGGGGAATAGAACACTATGTTAGTGTATTGTATTACAAACGTAAATCTTAACACTTGCAAATTTGTTTGGCCCAAGAAGATATGCAAAATGTATTGCAAAAATATCTTCAGGATAACTGGTCTCAAAAGTTACTCTACAAAACCTTGGTGGTTGTGATCTAAGACAGAAAACAGAAATAATTTTATTTTAGCAACAATATTGGGTAACACCTAAACATATCAAAGACCAGCAAAGGACTAGATTTCACTTTCTGAATGGTTTAAAAGAAATACAGAAGGTAAATATATAGTTAGTTTCTGTACCATCTCACAGTGTCTCTAAACTCAAGAAGTTCTTATTTAACATTACAGGAACTTTTTTAAGTTCTTTATTTCAATTTACTACTATTTAATTCATGTTAAAACCCAAGCAATCTATAAGAAACAAATGCTGATGGAGTTGAAGCAATATAGACCCATGACTGCACAGTACCTTATCTGTCATATCACAATTCTATGATGTAGTTGTAATGTTACTGTAGCCGTGCTGTTCAAAAATACTAGTGAGGCAAAATTAATGAGGAGAGGTAATGCATGTTACTAAAGTGATACAGGTGAAGGGGAAGTTCTACGGAGAGAAATATTTCTCCTCAGGTTTTTGTTGGTGCATTAATGAAAGCAAATGATAATCTGCCACCTGATAGGAAGGTCACCTTAAATACATGGTATGGATTAGTTTATGTAAAGCATACCTAAATGGGTAAGAAAGACAATTACCTGATAGCTTGTACTGCTGAAACAGAGTTCATATTGATCTAAATAAAAAATAAAAAATAAAAAAATACCAAAAACCAGTCACAGATTTCTACCAATCTCCTTCAAAAATATCAGTCCTTTTGAATAATTTAAACTTTGATTGGAACTCTTATTGTTCTCTGGATATCCTTCACTATATTCTGCACAGGCTCTGACGTGCAGCACCTCTGTTGCTTGGGGTTTTTTTTGGTTTACAGGAAAAAATAAATTTAAAAGAAAAATCAGTAAAATTGTTTCTTGCCTTTCCTTGGTGAATCTTGGTGCATATAGCATCACAATTAAGGCATTCATATAACATCATGATATGATCCTTTTGCTACTCTGTCTTTCAACTGGTGTTGCTTCCAAATCATTTAACACATGCCATTGCTATCATTTAGCCTTCCCAGGTAAAGGTTGGGAGCACCTAATGCAGAACAGCCCTGCCATTGCCCTTGTATCTGTATCTTTCTCCATCACAGTGCCTGCTGCTTCACCTTGTCTTTAAATACTGTGTGAGACTTTTTGTTATCTAGAAGTTTCAGGTAGAAAGCTTTGGGAGGTCCCATTGTTATAATCAAACACTGGTGTGGTATAGAGTCCTATTATTACTTGTGGTGTAGGGTCTTAAATTGAAAATTTGTGCACTGAGAAAGTTTTGACAACTTTTGCTATATAATTACAGTGTAATTCTGTAGGTACATAAAAAACTGCTGGTACTAGTTTACCTTCAAATCCAAAAGGTCTAACTATGGTTTCAGAAAACCTCCATTTCCCTCTGCTGGTGGACCTTCATATAATATTGGGTTGGGTTCTTTGCTAAGTGCATTTCCCTTTGCCACTTAGGTTTATGGAAGGTTGAGATTTAAGACCTCAGGTGTGGAATAAATGTATGCTTGGAAGGCATTATCATTGCCATTTTACAGACCAGTAAGCTGATTTAGAGGAACCATATGATGAATCCATGGACAACAAAAATATATGACTGAAGTAGAAACACCAGCTTATTCACACAGGCATCCTTTTATTGTGTTATACACAAATTTCGTCCAACACAGACTCTTATAAAGTTACTACATAAACATTTCCTGAAGTAGTGCTTATTTGGTTGTTACAGCAAACATGACAGTTCAGTAGACGGAAGCATACAGTATCAATATGTAACAATCTAAAACTTTATAAGAAGTTTCAACTGGACTTGGGTACCCTTTGAATGGTTACACAACAGCTAATTGCTTCATAACAGAATATATAGAATTTTACTGTAATGAAAGAACTGCAAACCTTGGGTGAAAAAGCACATACATAGCATAAATGATACCTATTTTCTTAATATCTCATTTTCATTCTAAAATTATTGCCAAGAACAGACACACACCACACACTCTATATCCTACAGTTAAAAGTTCTTAGAAGTATTACTAGTTGCTTTCTTTGGCAATGCAACAAAATATACCTCCAATGTTCAGGTAATTGGATATGACATTAGTCAAACCAATTTGCTGAACACAGGCTTTTGTGCTCCAAATATGCTACAAAACTCCACTGCATCACTAATAAATACTATAGCTAAAAGCCATCACAGAAAGAAAGGGAGAGTCTGCATACGTGGGAGTAAGTAAAAGAGGAAGTCTGGTTTTATTTTTAAATTCTCCATGTGCAGAAAAATCTTCACATTCAAGGATTTCAATCAAAAAATTATGGTTTAATCACAAAAAAAAAAAATGTTACTCAACTAAAGACTTACAAACACCCCTCTGTGAATGCCTTCAGGAAAGACTGAATATCATTCTCTTGTGAATAGTTTCACTCACATACAAAGTAAGGCAGGAAACAATAACTAGAAGGAAGGAAAATTGAGCAAAACCACTTTACTGCTTGTTATCAGAATGTAGTGTAAAAGGACTGCAAGAGTAAGGGGATCTTGAGAATTAAGTTATTTGAATGAGTTCCCATAAAATTCCGTGGCAAAAAGGTCACTTGTGCAGGTGGAGCCTGTTTGTTCTCTTCCTCTGCAGAATTCAGTCCTTGCCAGGTCCCCACCAGATCTTCTCTCACTGATTTCATCTACTTTTGCTTCAGATGTTCAGTTCCCTCACTGCAGACTGGAGAAATACTTTGCCTCAGAGTGATTTTCTCTCACTTCCTTTGGACAAATGCAGTCTTTCCTTTAAATATCCACTACTTTCTAAATTAATTTTTCACCCGAATTACCCATTAATAATGGGTCAGAATGATCTGTTTTCTACCCTTCAAAGAACAATAACTAAGTAACAAGTTGTATAGGTACAAGGTCACCCCAGCAGTGCAATTGCTATTTCCTGTTAGGGATAAGAAAAGTTATTAGGAGCATACAAGTGGGGTTGCAGAAGACACTGACACTAACAGAGGAGTTTCTTCTTTGACAACTAAGATGGTGGCAGCAGTATCATCAGAAAAATCTATTAGTGCAGCAGTGTTCAAAGAATCAAACAGAAGTACTTAGGGCAGTGTTTGCAACTGAAGGACTGTACTGCTGATTATTTACCTGTAACAGCTTTGCTTATGACCAGATTCAGGTCCCTCCTACTGACTCTGCATCTTTTGAACTCAGTGATATTTATTCACAGCAAAGTTGAGGGCTACAGCTACACGTCTGAACCAACACTAAATGAAAGGCATAGAGCTGCAGACAAGATCTGATGTAGGAATACTATGACCAAAAGCTATTTACCATCAACAGCTTGTCAATCCAAAGTATACCCTGAACTCTAGCTTCTACTTTAACTATTTTCAATGAACTTGCAAGATAGGAGGAAAAAAAAAAAAGGCACGGAAACAAAAATTACAGAAAATGCCAAGCCACTGTATCAAGCACTTTGGAAAGAAGAGTTAGAATCTAAACTGATAAAGTGAAAGTCTAAAATCAACAACCTGAAATTCAGCAGAGCTGTCATCAATATACATAAGGAAAAGAACTACTAGATAGATAGAAAATAGGTACAAGGCAACACAGGAGAGGAGTAACCAAGTAGGAGTGCATCACTAAATCACTTCAGCAGTAAATATTCTGTATCTCATCACCAAGGGGTCTTTAATAGCTACAGTTACCTCAGCCACTCAGTCCTCCTCCATCATTAAGTTTCAGAGCTTTATGATTATTTATTACCATTAGCAACTAGGAGAATGAGGGCAGAGGAATGTTACTCCTAATTGAATTGATAAAGCCTACAGATAAGCAACTGAAGTCACTCTGCATCTGAAGTTTTACAGTCCACTAACTACTAAAGAAGCTGGAGAGGCAAATGGATATGAAATACATACATATATAGACATACAGAAAAAAAATAATTCCCGTAAAGCATCCCAAACCCAAGTATTTAGGACTTGAGGCAACTCTCTTCTCAGAGATGAAGAGCCATATTGAATGCAAGAAGAAATGAGGAATAATTCTTAGTCAAGAAAGAATCCTAGCATTTGGATCCTAGCATTGAGTGTGAAAAAGCTGCATACCAGAGTTCAGCACTTATACACATAAATGACGGTTCAGAACTTAATTTTTTTTCTGAGCATTAGACTTGCTGCTCCTGTGAACTATGCACCTGAGAGTTGCAATGAAAACTTACCACCTACTAAGCATCCACTTCAGAAAGCACACATATTTTAATAAGACCAATTAGGAAAGCATCTACGTAAAAGGTCTTTTCCAACTTAATTGATTCTATGATTCTAACTGCTGTCATTTATAGGATTTTCTGTGTATATGAAGTTCAGCTATAGACCTAGGTTAGCAAAGTCTCAAAATATTATTTGTGCTATTTATTTACATTTTTAAAACATAGTTCATACAATTAAGATGTTGATATCATTATTACCAGCAAAAAGAAAGCTCCTCCATTACTGTTAGCATATTACAAATCTCAGGGGTGTTTTTACAGAAAACAAAGATGTTTTTGCTTAAGAGCTGGCCATGAAAGATGCTTTTCCCAGGCAATTCTGGGACACAAGAGACAAACTACGCTAGAAAGTGTAACGTTCATTTGAGATTCAATCAGACATTTCCTGTGATTGTATTCAAAAGACAGATTGTAATATTACCTAATCAATGGGAAACAGCCTTACAGCTAAATGAAACAGCACAGAATATACTAAAATTAAACATTGATACTTACTTCGGGACATAAGGTCTCAAAACCATTCAGTTGATAAACTTGGTTTATGCAAAAATTATGGAGACAAGATTTCAGTTCCTCTGTAAGACCCCAGTGATTTCCAAAGAGAAGAATCAGAAGCTCTGTTTAAGACATTACTTTCGGTTCCCCTCGGGAAAGAAAATAAAAAAATAAAAGAAAAAGCTGGAGTTTGTCAAAAGTTGGTTTTCCTGAAAACAGCTCCCGATGAACAAGCTTATGTAATACCAATTGATTTTTATCTACCAGAAAAACATTTTGATATATAATATCTAATTTTAAGGTGCATCCCTTCAGCACACACATTAAGTGTTCTCACAAAAAGCAACAAAAAAATAAATCTATCTTGAACACAAGAATTATTTCTGCACTCCATCCTGCTTTTTATCCCCAAATTATCTATACAGTGCTTAGTTATTAATAACAGTTTTAAAGGATGCACAGCTAATACCATTCATATATCACATTCTAGCAGGCTGTACTAGAAAACAGGGAGCACTGTTCAATTTTTTTAACCTACACTCTCTTATCCCCTCTTTATACAATATTTGATAACTTTCTACTAAGCAAACTCCTACTACTGAAGGAAGGAAATCTAAACTAGATATAAATATATTAATATAGATGGGATTTTTTCTGTTTTCAGAGTCTTAGCCAAAACCATAATTGTGTGCATTTCTCTCACACAGCAATATATTAAAATATTGTATCTAGTATTTACATTTGAGAAAAAAATCATCCCAGTAATAAAAGTTCTAAAGAACTGAATATCAGTAAGAGAGCATCAATATGTATGATTTTATGATTTACAAAGAGCAAAGTTAATCAATACACATCTATTGGCAGGTGTACACAACTACTTAAGAAGCTGTATTTACAAAGGAAAACCTGCAAGTAGGATATGAAAGAAGAATTTTTACTATCATCATATATTCTTGCTGTGGAAAATACTCATTCAGTGACAGTTTTTTCAAATTTGTATAAGTTTGGTTGAAAGTCATCCCAAAAGTAACTTTTGAAAAGGGAACATGTAAATTCACTTTTTAAAGTCTTAATTGAAAAAAAAAAATGTTACTTCCATTATTGTTGTTGTTATTAGCAGTATGGTCAGAGATGTTGAAAGTGAAACATTTCTTCATAGAGACTCACTCAGTGATTCATTCACTATGATTTTTTTCTTCTAATTTTTTCCACAATCTCTGGCCAGTCTGAAAGTAAAATAAAATCTGTAAATGATTATATGTTCTAATAAGACCAAAAGATACATCTAAGGTGTACATCTGGCAACTGCTTTCATGTACATATTACTGAAGATGGTAAGTCAACAGCTGAACATAACAGTAGCCCTTTTCAAAGCATACTGAGCTTCTAAGTAGATTTCCATCAGATTTTCATAAGTACCCAATCAAACTCTTTCTAGTTTACATTAGTTTCAATGTATTTCCACATGAATTATGTAGCTAACCACCCAGACTACTTGGTCTGGTCCTTGGTCTTCTATTTATAACCTTAAATACCACCTTTGAAAATGTAGTCCTTACTGCCTTTAGAAATAGAGGCTTTGCCTGTTCAATATCTTCTATATAAGTGAAATAGTAAGCGATCCCAAAGCTCAGGTAAATATTCAGACAAAGATTATTTAATGCCGCATTAAGTATGCAGCATCAGCCTCATACCTAACATTAACTTCATTGACTTTCAGTAACTTTCAGATATAAAAAACAGATTCTCCATAAATTAGCCGCTCCAGCAACTCTTCATTTTTCTGCTTTCAACATGTTCTATACCAGACGGATGCAGGACTGGCCTGCCTACCATTGCTGTGAGGATTCACTCTCACGGCTGAAAATAACGGCTGGGTCATTGAAAATAATCTAAAGAACTTGAAGACTGCCTAAGACAGTTTTCATTTTAGTGGGATTTAAGCACTTCAGTCCTCTGAGTTTCTGTGAAATGTCTGTTCACTGATGCTCCCAATGAAGAAAACTGCATCCTGATTGAATAGGTGAATCTGTATCATAACCACTTCGCCTAAGAATCCAGCTTGGTACACTTCTGAGGGAGTTTGTTATCTCATATCAACTCAAAATCAGTAATAAACTGTCACATTAATTACGACACATTTATTTAGCAATTATATCATCCTTATGCTGAAATCTTACAGGGAATTACTGCAAAAACAACCAGTTGCAAAAAAAGGTAATTATCATAAAGGATCAAGACAATAATAAGTAAAGCAAGCAAGTAAGCTTGGAACACGGACATTGTCAGGACAAACAAGTTCTACATGCAATAATAATAACTAGGCCCTTTTGCTAATATAATAGTAAACAAATGTTTGGGGATGGGGGTTGTGTCTCCCCCTTTCTTTTTACTTGTTTGCACAGTTCATTCATTGTCCAATGAACAGACTTACAAGTAAATGATAACACAGAGCAAAGGCACTATAAATGGAAACGTACTTAAGATTTGAACTGGTTAACTGCATCAAGACAATGCAGGACTTCAGTCCTGTTGTGGTATAAACAGGGGTTCACTACACAAGTTCATTTTACATCATTCCACCCTCAAATGTATATGTAGTGTACTCATTGAAGCCAGAAACTGGAAGAACAAAATGAAATCCTTTAATAAAATTCCTGTATATCAAAATATATTAGAATCTAGGCTGAGAAGAAAATGAAAACAAACCACATAAAGAAATATGGTGGCATTTTTTTTAAATCAGTGGCTTAGAAAGTTTTGGAGACCACCGACAAACATGTCACTTATAAAACAAAAATGACTGCTACAACCTAGTTATAAAGATATTCCAAATCATCACATCTGGATACATGCATGCTCATAAAAAACAACAGCTATGGCCCATGGCCAGTGAGTTGACATCCTGAAATTTTCTAAACCTTTTGTCAGTCAGAGATCTCTGCCCCACACTTTTAGTAGTCCCACTTTAATTGCTGCAACTGGAAATGGTATTGTTTTCCCGTACACAGGATTATTCTGCTTGTTCTGAAAGACCGTCAAAGATTTATATAAAAAAACACTCAAAGCAAATAGTAAATTAGTCTGTGATTTATGCTTAACATCATGAAATGATCAAAGTCAGAAACACATTCTGAAATGTGCAGGGGACCAGAAAATGTACCAGACCCTGCTAATATATGGAATTATCAAAGACCTCCCAAATGACTTAAGTTAATTCAAGCTCCTTGTTCACAATTAGACTCTTATCATGAAATCTGCCATTTGGTTTCATACTATCAAATCTATGCAGAGAAAGTAGCACATGCTGGAAAAGAGGCAGATTACTAAACCCCTACATCTTCGTTTCCCTGTAAAAAAAAAAAATATCTGTTTAAAGAAATGTATTTTCTTTCATGTGAACTTGATGCTGTCTAATTTAATTCTTGATGTTTCTTCCATTGTACAGCGAGGTATCCTTTGAGGAAGGAAAAACAGCTTGTGTTTTGATAACAAACACCCAAAAAAATAGTTGCATCTCTGCTTTCAAAGAGACAAGCTGCTTTTATTCCTCGGCAGAAACTCATTACAATATGATGGACAAAATGTCATAAATAAATAAATAAGAACAAAAGGTGATTTTTTTTTTTTTAATTATTTTTGACAGCAATATCAACTATTGGAAATAGTGCTGGTTTTATGCAGGCCTCTCATCTCCTCTCTACCTAGATTCTCGGACACTTGACTTGAATTTGTTATGAAATAAATTAGAAGAAAAGAAAACTAAGGGGAGAAAGTAACATACCATATGAAAATACCATTAACATTTTCTTAGTGAAAGGTAAGTTAAGAGCTTGCTGTTAGACACAGTTGCATGTTCACATGCATACACATAGAAAATCAAACTGCACTTCACAGGAGGACCAGAGCTCTCTGTGAAGCTCAAAAGCCTTTGGACTTTTCTCATTTCATATTGAAGGAGGTCGTGCTTTCCCCCACCCCAAGGTCAGTGTTGTAAACATCAGTCCATCAAGATAAGAAACTTAAGTCAGACGATATTAATTACCTGTCCTTTCATGTCATCCCTGTCTCACATCTGGTTTCCTCTTTGTAACATTCATTTAGGCCAATAAAAGCCGGGGGGGGGGGGGGAGAACGAAAAACCACTTCAGCAGCTTTCTTCTTTCCCAGGCTGAAAATGGCACACGAGTGCTTCGTTTACTGCATACACACACTCACTCACACATGGGCACACACGTACACACATATGGTACATTTAGTAATCTTCAGTGCAAAACAGTTAGCTGGTATCCTGCAAACTAAAGTCTATCTTAAAATTGTGAGGTTAGCTCAAGCCATACCAAGATACAGGCAGAAATTTATTCTATGTATTTTACTACTTTTCATATAAACTGTAGGCAGCAACTGGACTTTTCAGGTATATTGTAGATGTTTTTCCCAAAGCCTGATATTGGGGCTCTTAAATAGGTCAAATATTAGTGCTTTAGTAATTCAACAGTATTAATAGACCCCACTGTTCAGACATCTTCCTTTGCTTGTGTTTTATTTTTATATATAATCTGTCATGAAGAACAAATGGCCATTCTTTTTTCCTCATATCACTACCTGTAATAAAATAGTCATTTAGCCAAATCGTACAAGCTTATTTTCACCTTTTTTCCAAGTGATATAGTCATTTTTGCTGCTATTGAAACTAAGCCTTTATCACACTAGTTTTGAACAGGAATACTGCTGGTTCAAATTTTAGGCTTTGTTGTTTCTAATAAACATCACGGAAAATTAAGAATTTTAGGGTAATCCACAAGATAGATAAATATTACTTCATATTACTTTTTAATGGAATGTATCTTCAAATTTTCCAAAGTTCTCTGACAATCTCAACCATTCTGAAGTATATTTTAAAGAGCAGGCAGAAAAACAAAAAAATATTTACTACACAGATGATAGGCTCTCACTAGTGCAGGCAGTCTATATTAGTTTCAGTTCATAATTTGAAGTGAAAAGCACAATACCTAATCCCTATTCCTTAATCTATCCTGTCTATACATTTCTATTTGCTTTCGAAGTCTCAAAGTGTTATCTTCTGTAACTTGTTTCCTCTTATTTTTGCAACCGCAAAGCTATTTTAACATAT